TTTGGCCTTCATTTTTGGGGGCTCAGGGCTCTTTTTTTTTTTTTTTCAAATCTGGCAACCCAGCACCCAGCTTCTCTCCTCACCAACTCCAGCCCAAAAATGGTCACTTCCAACACCGCAGACTCCACACTTACCTCCATACGCTATCTCCCTGGACTTCTGCATATCACAGCATCCAACGTCATATTTCATAGACGCTCCGCTTCACTTTATTTGACCCCGAGTCTCGCTTTTTTCCTTCCCGTCAAAACCCATTCCAAGCGGTGACCTTTTCTCCGTTTAGACTGATGCAGGATGGGTCACAGCCAAGTTAAATAAACACTTTAGCTGGAACTTGGCTGCCTTGAATCAAATCATTTTGTGGATACGGGGAGTTTTTACCTTAGCGTTTGACAGTCTAGACGTTTTACGAGATCGGAAAGAAATGCGGCGGTGGTGATTTTGTGCAAATTTACTCCCTTTCTTTGTACTGATAGTTCATATTTACGCTCTGTTCCTCTTTAATGTCGGGGCATAAATTTGGGCTTTTTGGCGAGTAGCCCATACGGATGGTTTTTGTTACATGAAGTAGTATTATAAATTGCAAATTATACAGCTATTATTTTTTACAGATTTGCTGTTTCTGTTTCTTTCTCAGAGACCGTTTTTCTTCATCGTCTTTCTTCAAGGATGGCAGCTTTGACGATTGGGCTACTTTGTTAATGGTGCACTGTGTGACTTTTTGGTTGGTTGCTTGTTTCTATGGAGATGTCATTGCTCTGCCTGGAAAGTTCCACAGTATGACATTAAACAGCTTTACTCATATTTAGGGGTGTGCAAAAATATCAATATATCATATCGTTTTATGTGATGATAAAGTGTCGATAGCTTGGGCTGCTGTATCGATATATCGCCAAGAGTATTTTTTGGTATATTTTGCTAAATTATTTTGTTGCAGTGCTACAGTTTTGTTGTTTATTTAGAGAAATCAAACTTGTTTATGCAACAAATTTGACATTTTCACTGTTTTGGTGATCAAAATGTTTGTGTTTCATATTAACTTTGCACAAAAATGGTTTAACAAACACTTTAAGTACCGCAGCTTTTAAGATTTAGGCTTTATTTTTACTGAACTGTATCAAAGCAATTTGAAATATATCGTATCGAATAGAAAGTGCACTGTATCGTATCGTGGCTTATGTATCAAGGTATCGGCAACTTCTTCATGATACCCAGCCCTGCTTATATTACAGGTGGTATTTTGACTGTGAGCAGGGTCGCCTTTCCACAGATCTGACCTGTAACATGGTCTGGTTTAGTTTCCATGAAGATAGAAAGGTTTAATACCACACTGTGACAATCATTTTTCTTTACACAATTTTTAAGTTACCTATATAGAAGAACAACTTAAAAGAGGCAACTTGTGGTTTGCTGTTTTTTGTATTTTGTATTTTTGTTTTGCCTTTTTGCCTTTTTTATTTATTAATTGTTTAATTTCGGCATGTTGCCAAATATCTTATGGCTCTCAACTAGACCAAATCTTATCCTCCAAATATAGGTGGTTGGTTCAAATTAATAATGGAGAGAATAACATTTTCATTAAAGCAAACTGTAATTTTTTTTTTGTTACCACTTTGCAAAGATACCATATATGCTATTTTTATGTCTTTTTTTTTTATCTTGTATTTGTTATTTTGTAATGTTTGGTATGGTATAGCGAATAAATTCAATAAAAATAAACTCTCCATATGCATTTTTAAACAAATCGTAATCTTTTTTTCTACTTTTTAACCAAAGAAATGACCTCATGCATGTTAAAACTATAAAGTGCACGGCTACGTTACAAGGTGAAAACGCGCCTCTGTGGGATAAAGCTGTGGAGGTTGGGGTTTTCGCAGCTCCTTTCCTTGTGTATTTATGAGGTGGCTGCAGCGCTTACCTTGTCATGCCGTGTGTTAGCGTGTGGAGGAGTGAAGGGAGACGTGGAGGCAGAGGTGGAGGGGAGGGGCTCTCGTGTGTGTTACAATAACCAAATCGGACAGGCTGCGCGGGACACTTGACTGCGTGGGGGGGCAGGTCTGATGGGGTCAGGGCTCGGGGTTTAACAGTGACGAGGTGAGAGACGTGTGAGAGTCTGTCTGTGTGTGTGCTACGTGTAGGTCTGTGTGCGGTGGTGTTTGTGAAATGGTGAAAAGAGCAGATCAATATCCAAGAATGTGACAATTTTACATTTCCTGAGTAATTTAAAAACATGTGTACCCGTTTACATATCTGTCGTCCGATAGTTTAGATGGATAGAGATGCCGCGATATAGCTTTTACCAAGTTGTTTTGAATTTACAAAAAAAAAGAGAAAGAAAGTTTTGTGCTTTTTTGTTACAAAGTACAAAATTATGCATTGCAGGGGTGTCAAACTCAAATTCACAGTGGGCCAAAATTAAAAACTGGGACTAAGTCGTGGGCCAAACTGAATATTTATTGAAAAATTTAATCAACATCTGCATGTTTTCTCTTCTTTTGAGATATGTAACTTTAAACCTTTTCTTATTAAAATAAATGTTTAATATAGTTTTGCTTAAACACTGAATCCAGAACAAGCAAAATATAAAATAGTAACAACATTTTAAATACATAATGTCTCTATAGCCTATCTGTAGCGGGCGGGCCAGCTTTAATACATATTTGATATAATCTCGTGGGCCAAATATAATTATATTGCCGGCCAAATTTGGCCCCCAGGCCTGAGTTTGACATGTCTGGTGTATTGTTTATGGCAAAATGTCTCTAAGTAAAACTAATATTTTTGCTTCTAATACTTTTAAAATGTCAGTTTAGTTGCCATAATTTAAAAGAAATAGGACATTTAAATATTGCATAACAACTATTATTACAGTATATACTTTATAACTGTATTCGATTTTGAAATAAATAAAATTGCTTGATAGGAGAATCTTGTTTTGTAGGCCTCACAGGACAGCTATATTTTTTTAATCAGTTTTAATCTTGGTCTAAGAATCAAACCTTCACATTATGCACCCATTTCTCTTTGTGCAGTACCACCTCCCATCATGCACCGCTCCCCTCTACCTCCCAGCGCTCCTGTGGCCATGCCCTTTGACCTCTCCCTCTCGCCCACACCCTCTGGATTTGCATTTCCACTCCGCTAACCCTCCACGCTGGGCCAGAGCCAGGCAGGACAGCAGGCCTCTTTCTCACCCCTGTACCCCCCCTCCTCCTCGATCGGCCCGTAGACCCCCCATAGACCCTGGCTGCACGCTGGGGGTAATGCACCAAAAACATACCATTGTCTCCAAATTAACAGCCTCTCTCTGACTAGTGTTTCTAAACTGCATGTGGTCAGTTCAGTCAACACAACAAACCCCATAGACAATGATTGACATATTATGAAAAACTACTTTATATCTTCACTTTAATAAAATGTTAAGTACTGTAAGTAAGTCGTATTGAAATGGATGTCCTCCTTTTGAATAGTTTTACTTCAGAAAATGGAAGCGAGCGAGAGTTGTGCTGCAAAGAATGGCAAGGGAGACCTCTAGTGGAAGACGGAGTAACATCGAGTCGTTTGTGTTGAGTTTTTGTAAAAGATTGAGTTTAAAATGCTACAGTAACTTTAAAAACCTAAGTCTGTTTTGCTCTATTTATTTTTTAGTATGTGTTTTAAATGAATTCATCTTATTTAGTTTAAAAGAGTGTTTTGGTTCTGAAATGGTGGCTCAGTGAACTTTATCTTTCTCTGAGAAATGTTATCAGAATTTCCAACGTTTTAAATTATTATTATTGTGAGAATCTTTCACAAAGGTTTTGCGACGGGTGAAGTAATAAATGAGTAACTGTTAATATGAATTTGCATCACTGGATTTCAGATATCTGTCTTGTTTATCAAACGTGTCAAGTAAAGTGTATTGGATTTGATGTTCACTATCACTGAGATTTTGTTATTTTAATATGTATTTGGTAGGGCTGAAATTAGATCAAATTAATCATGTTTCTTTTTCTCATTTTTTTCTCTTCAGTTTTATTTTGTCTTACTGAAAACTAATAAAAATGGATTTCAATATACCTTTCTTGAACATAAATAAGACAGACCTTAAGGTGCATTGTGTAACTTTTCTCTGTAGAGATGGTTTTGCTTTGTCTGGAATGTTTCACAGTGTGGTGTTAAACTTTTCTATCATCATGTAGACCAAACCAGACCAAGGTACAGGCCAGATCTGTGGGGAGGTGACCCCGCTCACAGTCAGAATGCCTGTTTTTCTAGGTATTTTTCACCTATAAACCCACATATAATTGAATAAATGTAAAGTAGAGCAGTTCAGTATCATACTGTGGAACAAGAAGGTGAATGACCAGAATCAAAAGTTACATAATGCACCTTTAGACCTAAAAAAAAATTGTCAAATCCGTCCCAAGTCTGAACTGTGCCACATCACAGCTGCTAATTTGGATCATGTGTCTCTCAAATGCGGAAACTCTCCTCTTAAATCATTTACAACAAAATAAAGAACTTAAATATGAGTCTGGTGCTTCGATGAATGATTCTGCAGAAATCCACGCTGTTTCTCAGACCTCTGTGATGGTTATTTCCCTCTTTTAATTTAGCCGCCATGTTTGTTTTTACCCAAACAGTATCTCTGATTGGTTAATCTGTCTGTCAATTAGGGAGATACAGTATGATTTCTCACACACTCGTCTTTGTAAATTTTTCTCAAAGCGTGTGGTTCTGGTGTGCCAGGTAACCAGACCACATGCTTTTACTGACATTTGACTGATTGGCTCTAGATCTCTCCATTAATTGCTCTTGCTCAACCCGAATTTTAATTTTTTGCTTTTGAAATAAACACCTCTGGCATTGGAATACAATGAACAAGTTCAGCTCCGATCAGATCTATATTTTCTTCTGCAGCTACACACTCTCCCTATAGCTCCACTGCGTTTGTCAGCTTTGTCAGACATCTTGTTCCTCACCCTTAACCTCTCTCCCTCTTCTCTTTCTCCTTACAGTTCTGAGTATCCGTGGAGCCCAGGAGGAGGAGCCCCCAGACCCTCAGCTCATGCGTCTGGACAACATGCTGCTGGCCGAGGGGGTGTCAGGGCCGGAGAAGGGCGGGGGATCTGCGGCGGCAGCGGCAGCAGCAGCGGCCTCTGGGGGGGGCCCCGGAGCGGACAACTCAGCGGAGCACTCGGACTACAGGGCCAAGCTGTCCCAGATCAGACAGATCTACCACACCGAGCTGGAGAAGTACGAGCAGGTGAGCAGCAAACAAGTATGTCACTATAAATAACAATACAAAACAAAATGGTTGACATAATTATACCAGGGATATTCTTGTTCAGATGTAAACTGGTCTAGTCAAAGTGGTCTACTCTTCACTTTGGTCCACAGTAGAGTTTCCATTACCCATAAACACTAATCAATACTACAACTAGATACTCATTTGAACAAGTATTGATACTATAAAAGTGCATAAATAGATTGAAATTTTAGCATTCTTGAGTAGTTTTGGGGGGGTCTTGCTCTTAATCCTAACAAAGACCATCTTGTAATAAAAAATACTATTATATAAATGTTGAAAATAACATTCTATTTTCCACAAATCTGTTATTTTTGTATCATTGTGGTATCAATTAGCCAGGCTGGTGCCACCTAGTGCCTCCACTCAATTTAATTTCTCTCCAACGACTAGGTCAGGAATCAAAATACAATAAACGCTTCGCAAAAACCCCGGAAGTGCAAGTTCAGGTACCAGCCATTCAGCGAAGAAGAGTCATATATTGAGTGTTATCAACGAGTCCCGAGATCAAGGATTTACAGCCAGAATAAAGAGAATGTTTGGTGAATTTCATCATATGGAAAGATGTTATTGCCCTTCTTCCTACGGGATTTGGGAAAAGCTTTATATACCAGTTAGCCCCGTTAGCGCCGCATTACATACGTCACGACCAAATAGCAGCGATTGGTTAAATAAAAAAAGTACCCATCTACCGTCGAGCGAATGAATTCTAACACTGCAAGGTCAGACGGTTTCTACAAAGTGAAACCGGCTGATGAATCAGGCATGGTATTGATTCCAATAGTGAGCCGTTCCCTGTTCAAAGTCAAAATTTTAGTATTGTAACAGCTACACAGCATCTTTAAATGTCTATTTGTTCTGAGTCCTTTAAACTCGACTCATGTTAACCATGTTGTGTAATGCTTTTCAAAATGCTCTGCTCCACTAGTTATAAAGTGGCTTTCTCCACAGTGTGCAGTGTTGTTAAAGTCCATACTCTTCACCGACAGTGGCTGACTCACTATTCTAGTGCTCTGATTCTCTTCACAAACTGTTTAGCTCGCAGCTGTTGTTTTTAGCCTTATGTAAAATGCTTAGGCCTGCTGCTGGCTACAGTGTTTTTCACTGCATAATGCTGTTGTCACTGTTAAAAAAGCTTGATACCGACCACAATACCAATTTTTATGTCATTTTTAACACAATATAATAGTTTTGTATATTACCATGTGGGTTGTTTAATGCTAGTCCTGATATAGATCAACATTAAACTTTTCAGGGAAGGTCCAACTTGATTTTATTTATGTGATTTTAGTGTACTAGTTAGTATCAATTAAGTTTTGTTTGTTTTTTTGCACAACCCTACTGCATAGAAATATATATTTTTAAAGATGCACTGTGTAACATTCAGGTGGATGGTCCGCCACTTGCTTGTCTTCATGGAGATATTATTGCTTTCTCTAGAATGTCCCACAGTATGGCATTAAACGTATTTATTTCCACAGAGACAAGGCCACAATGCCTCAGATCTGTGGGAATGCATGTTTTCCATAGTATTTTTGAGCAGTGAAACACCTGTAATTGAATAACTGCAACATAGATGAGTTTAATGCCATACTGTGAAACCTTTCAAGCAAAGTAACAATATCTCCATGGAAACTAGCTTGTCGCAGACCCCATACGTGAAGAGTTACACAGTGCACTTTTAAAGTTACAAAACATGCCAAGATGTCCAAAAGTACTCACTGGTATGCACAGAAGACCAAGTTCAAGTTCATCATTTGGATTAACTGCAATAAAGTAAAATCTACGTATATTTTTGTAATTTCTTTGTTTATTCTTATGACATATTTTGCGTTGTTCTTTTTTCCATTTTCTAGGCGTGTAACGAGTTCACCACCCACGTGATGAACCTGCTGAGGGAGCAGTCTCGCACACGTCCCATCTCGCCCAAAGAGATCGAGCGCATGGTGGGCATCATCCACAGGAAGTTCAGCTCCATCCAGATGCAGCTGAAGCAGAGCACGTGTGAGGCCGTCATGATCCTGCGCTCACGCTTCCTCGACGCCAGGTATGTGCGCTCCATCACAGGCAAGAGAGGGAGGGAGCTGCTGTCAACATGGCAACAGAATAGACAAACGTCACCTGAGTCATGAGGGAAAGACGACATAAGCTTCATATAAAAACACAGTTAAAAACACATCATAATAAAAGTCAACAGCTATGTGGCCTTTATTCAGAGAGGCAATGGCATTTGGAATTCATGATTTGTACTTGGAACTTGTAGTGCTTGCCTGATATTAACAGAGTGAAGGAGTTTTGGAGCGGGTGAAAAGAGCCCTCAGTGTTGTGAGTGGCTAAAAATATGGCTTATTGTTGGTCAATCACACAATAAAACATGCATAAATCTAAAATATGTATACACTGGCAAGAAATACTGAAAACAAATACTTCTAAGGCTTTTATTTTTGAACTGCTTTCATTTGACAGCCTAGTGCTTTCGCTTAATTTCATTTTTCTCCAGCGACTAGGTCAGGAATCAGAATACACTAGACGGTTTGCAAGAACCCCGGAAGTGCGAGTCAGGGCACCAGCCAATCAGCGAAGAGCCATATATTCTGTGTTGGCAGCGATTCCCGAGATCAAGGATTTAAAGCCGGAACAAAGAGAATGTTTGGTGAATTTTATCAAAGGGGAAAAACATTATTGCCCTTCTTTCTACGGGATTTGGGAAAAGATTAATATATAATTTAGCCCCGTTAGCAGCGCATTGCATATGTCATGACTAAATAGCAGCGATTGGTTAAATTTTTAAAAAAGTACTCACCTACTGTAGAGCAAATGAATTCTAATGCTGCGAGGTCAGACAGTTTCCACAAAGTGAAACCAGCTGATGAATCAGGCTGGTGCTGTGGCATCTTTTCAACAAAAATATGTTATTCAAACAAATGAATTGAAATTAAATGCAGAGAATAAAGATCCAGCACTACAGTTGCCATCAAAACATATTACCTTGTTAGTGCCAAGTTATCTCGTCAGATCTCAGAAGCTAAGCGGGGCTTGGCCTTGTTGGTATTTGGATGGGAGACCACTGGGAATATCCGGTTCTTGACACTTCACCCGTGGATGTGCTGTATGTTTGTGTTAGTGGTAGTTGGAAGAAGCAGCTTAGTACCACTGAGTTTGAAGTGAATGAATAATGCACAAAATTCCAAAGTGTCTCTGAGCACATGGAAAAACACTATGAGCTAAGACAAATGCATTATTATTTATTATTAAAGAAAACCGATTGCACATGCTGGTTTCAATATGTATGATAATGCACAATATATGTGTATGTTGTTTTTTTAACCATAATTTACTTAAAATATTAAAATGTGTGTAAATGTGTACCCATCTCAGTAAGATCCTGATGACCTATGAATATTGTTCACACATTTTTTCTCTTTTTTATTATAATATATTGTGACATGTGAGCTCATGTGTCCAAGCAATTTCCCTTGTATCAGTAAAGTTTGTCTAAGTCTAATATCACTTGCTAATATTACTCACTATTATCATTCGCTATTACTGCTTGCTATTATTGCTCACTATTATTGCTTGCTAATATTGCTCGCTAGTATAATCTCACTCGCTAATATTGCTCACTATTATTACTTGGTAATGTCACTCACTAATGTCGCTGATTACGTTCATTTTAATCGACAAACCGAATGTAGGTTGCTGTATGTAGCGTGACCAAACAGGGGTCCGTACATGTAGCTCTCTGCACTCAGAAGGAGCGAGACACAGTCGGTCAGTCTGCAACGTACTGAAGTGCAAATGCGAACGATGTGCAACGATGATTTGTACAAGAAAGTCCACGCTTTCCGTTCGGGACAAGTGGGAGTCCATGTGCACAGTGTACAAAGCAGCACATATGTTTCGGTGTCCAGTGGGAAAAAGTTTTGCCAGGTGAGAGTCGCGCAATGTCGATGATGAGGCTCCACCTCCCACCCCCCGTACGGTGTCCTGGTTTTGACAAACGCAAATATGGTCACACTAACCTGTATTCCACTGAGTCTTGTCTTTTAATCCGACAGAAATTGACCGCATCAGCGACACAAGAGCTGTAGTTTTATCTTTGCTGAGTTTATGCAAATGACCGATGCGGTTTGAAGTTTTGTTTCTGTGAGAGTTGCGCAAAACTGAATTAAACACATTATAATCTAAAACGGATAGATGTAGCTCTAGAATCGTTACAGTTTATATGTCATAAAGTTGAATTTATTTATGCAGATTAGTAGTGCAGATAGTAATAATAATGATGATAATTTTAATATAAAAACGTTAATGATTAATCAATAATCGATGAAGAAAATTTCACCGAATGCCCATCCCTACTTGCTAATATCACTCACTATTTTCGGTTCCTAAAATTGCTTGCTATTATTGCTCGCTAATATTGCTTGCTAATATTGCTCACTATTATCGTTTACTATTATCGCTTGCTAAAATAGCTTGCTAATATCAGTTGCTAATATCGCTCGCTAATATAATTAGTTAATATTGCTCGCTAGTATAATTTAACTTGCTAAAATTGCTTACTATTATTGCTCGCCAATATTGCTTGCTAATATCGCTTGCTAATATTGCTCGCTAGTATAATATCACTTGCTAAAATCGTTCACTATTATCGCTTGCTAATATCGCTCACTAATATAATTTGTTAATATTGCTCGCTAGTATAATTTAACTCGCTAATATTGCTACCTATTATTGCTTACTAAAATTGCTTGCTATTATTACTTGCTAATATCACTCGCGGTTATTGCTTGCTAATATTGCTTGCTAGTATAATATCACTTGCTACTATCGCTCCCTATTATCGCTTGCTAAAATCGCGTGCTGTTATTGCTTGCTAATATCGCCCACTAATATAATTTGCTAATATTGCTTGCTAGTATAATAACTTGCTAATATTGTTTACTAATATTGCTCGCTAATATTGCTAACTATTATCAGTCACTATTATTGCTTGCTGATATTGCTCGCTAACATTACTATCTTCAAGCCGTAATATAGAACCAGCTTTTTTCCTTAATACACTGTAGTTTGAATTGGCCCGTATTTGTCCCTGTAGCGCGTTGTTATAATCTCCATTCCACAGTCACACGCGCTTCATTCACGTTGTGTAGTAAATAACATGTGGGGTACCAACATGTCCACTCATCACCATATGAATGAGAGCCTCTGCTGTCAACATGCCCCGACACACGCTGCTCTATAATATATAATATACCACTGTGTGTGAGGGGGTTATTCCTATACAGTATATAGAACACAACAGCATTTGTCAGTAAGAGGTTTGTGTGTACTTTGTCATGAAATAAGTGACAAAAATACAAAATATAACCATGTAGGGCTATGCAGTTATTAATCACATTGAAATTGAGATTTGGTCATTGCTAATTGTCGGTGATAGGGTGACCAGATGTCCCTATTTACCCAGGACAGTCCCAGTTTTGAGCCCTGTGTCCCCTGTCCCAGCAAATTTATACAAAACCAGTGATTTGTCCCAGTTTTATACACCAAATATCCCAGGTGTCTATATTTTTGACCAATTGGATCCCTCTCAACAGTAAAGAGAGGCATAAATTGTCATTTGTTTACATAAAATACAGAAAAGCTGCTTAAAAATGAATACAAAGAAAATGTGACTACACTGACTCACATGTTAGTCATGAATGGGCCGACATTTTTTCTTAACGTGCTTGTTTCACAATTTTATTATTTCCAACAATTCCAAACCGGGTGATGTCCCAGTTTTTGATTTTGAAAATCTGGTCACTCAACAATTAATCACATTTTAATTGAGATTTGGTCATTTTTTGAGTGTTATAGCACTTATTAAGAGTTTGTGTTTTTTATGTTCAAGAAATCTATTTTCAGTGGGGTTTTTTTTAGATTTTAGTAAGACAAAATTTAATCAAACAGAAAGTTTGATTCAGCTATATGCAGAAAAAATTATGAATTAAACAAGATAGAATATGAATTTTCGGAGACAAAACTACACGTAAACCAAGACTGAAGACGGGCAAATACTTGTGTTGTAGTCAAGCCGCACTAATTGAGACCAAGACCTGTCCAAGACCACAGGGTCCTAAGACCAGGACAAGACCAAGACCTCTGAAGGCCGAGACTGAGACAAGACCAAGATCACGGCTCATCGAGACCAAATCAAGACCATCTTTTTCAACCAATTTTCAACATTTATTTGTATTTTACAGTTATTTTGGCACATATATATCAACGTTTTTATAACTCTATCTCCATTTTATCACTCGTTGCATGTCAGCCCTTGAGACTGAGACAAGACCGAGTCCATGTGCCTTCAAGCCCGAGACAAGACTGAGTCCATGCGCCTTCAAGCCCGAGACAAGACCGAGTCCATGCGCCTTCAAGCCCGAGACAAGACCGAGTCCAAGCGCTTTCAAGACTGAAACAAGACAGCATCCTAACACAATTGAGTCTGAGACGAGACCAAGACCGCAAAAAAACTGTCTCGAGGCCGGTCTCGAGACCAAAACCACTCTCGAATACTACAACACTTCTAAATACCAGCACTGACTATTGGCTGAATGTCTCTCCTCACACTTGGCCCTCCTTTTCACTATTTGACTGCTATAACCTGGCACCGGCATCTTTTCTTTGACTTTGTTTTGGTTATGCTCCTCAAAAACATGCCTGAAGTGGTTTTAGATGTCGTCCGTGCATGTTTGAGTAATCTAGCGATCTCTCCCTGGTAATATTCAAACCCTACTTACGATAAGCAGTACTATCAAGACTGGAGTATACCCCCTCTTTAATCTCTTGTTGTATATTGTGTCATATACTAAAATGAAGCAAGGTCAGCATGATGTAAAACTAAAAATCTGGATTAATTAGGCCTAAATTTGATGAAAATATGCATTGAACTTAACCAGGACTAGTGTAGCGTTGGTTATGGGGTCAGACTTGTTCCGAAACAGAGTCGAATGGGAGCTTCCTGTGTCTCTTCCTCTCCTTTAATGTAATGGGTTGTTCTTTTTGATGGTAGCTGCGGATTAGCATACATTTCTCTCAAGGATAAATCTCACTCCGAGTGGAAGGCATAACATTTAAATGAGGCGTGCTCTGCTGTACAAAGCCCCCTATCTGTTCTGCCGTAATGAGAGAGACGGAGCGAGGGAGGGAGGAGAATGAGAGGGGAGAAGGAGGAGAGAGAAAGGGGTGTGTGGGGGGGGGAGCAAAGGAGTGAGCGAGAGGAGAGACAACAAGAGAGAGAAAAAGAAAGAAGGAGGAAAAGGGATTAGGCAGGGAGAAGCAGAGAGGAGGGAGAGGGTGGAAGGGAGGAGAAAGAAAGAGGAGAGGCACACAGAAAGAGAAAGGGAAGAGGGAAAGAGGAGGGAGAGAAAGCAATGGAGTAAGAGAAAGAGGGAGGGAGGGAGAGAAGGAGATAGAGGAAGCAATGGAGTCAGAGGGAGAGAGAGAAGGGGAGAAAGGGATTAGACAGGGAGAAGCACAGAGGAGGGAGAGGGTGGAAGGGAGGAGAAAGAGATAAAGCAACGGAGTGAGAAAGAAAGAGGAGAGGCACACAGAAAGAGAAAGGGGCAAGGGAAAGAGGGGGGAGAGAAAGCAATGGAGTGAGAGGGAGAGAGAAAAAAGAGAAAGAGGAGAGACAGGATAGAAAGAGAAAGGGGGGGGAGGAAGAGATGGAAAGAGAGAAAGCGGTAAGAGAAAGTGAGAGGGAGAGACAGTGGTAGAGAGAAAAAGGGGAAAAGGAGAGAGGGGGAGGTAGGGAGAGAAAGAGAGGAAAAATAAAGGAGTAAAAAGGAAAATAAGGGACGGAAGGAGACAGGGCGAGCAGGAGAAGTGTGAGGGAGGGAGCAAGATTGGAGGAAGGACCAGAGAAGGAAGGGGATGAGAGAGAGAAGACAGTGAGAAAGGGAAAGAGGAGAGAGAAGCAGAGATGGTGAGAGATGTGAGAGAGAAGGAGAGAGGGTGAGAGAAGGAGAGAGAGAAAGAAAGCAATGGCGAGAGAGTGAGGGAGGAGAAAAGGAGACTGGAGAAGGAGGAGATTGAAAAAGAAAGACAAGGGGGAGGAGAGAGGGAACACTGGAAGGGAGAGAGAGGAGAGAAAGCAATGGAGTCAGCTGGAGAGAGAGAAGAGGAGAAAGGGATTAGACAGGGAGAAGCAGAGAGGTGGGAGAGGGTGGAAGGGAGGAGAAAGAGATAAAGCACGAGTGAGAAAGAAAGAGGAGAGGCAGTCAGAGGGAGAAAGAAAGGAGTGAAAGAAAGAGGAGGAAGAGAGTAAGAGGAGAGAGTGCTACAAAGAGAAAGAGGGAGGGAGAGAAGGAAAGAGAGGAAGCAATGGAATGAGGCAGTCAGAGAGAGAAAGAAAGGAGCGAGGGAAAGAGGAGGGAGAGAGAGAACGCAATGGAGTGAGAGGGAGAGAGTAAGACGAGAGACAGTGATAGAAAGAGAGAGAGGGAGGGAGTGAAAGAGAGAGAGAAAGAGGAGAGACAGTGATAGAAAGAGAGAGAGGGAGGGAGTGAAAGAGAGAGAGAAAGAGGAGAGACAGTGATAGAAAGAGAGAGAGGGAGGGAGTGAAAGAGAGAGAGAAAGAGGAGAGACAGTGGTAGAGACAAAAGGGGGCGAGGGAAAGAGCGGGAGGGAGAGAGAGAGAGGGGAAAAAATGAAAGGCAGTAGAAAGGAGATGGAGGGAGAAATAGGAGATGAAAGGAGACAGAGCGAGCAGGAGGAGTGTGAAGGAGGGAGAGAGTAGAGGAAAGAGGAAAGAGAGAAGACAGTGAGAGAGGGAAAGAGGAGAGGGTGAGTGAGAGAGAAGGAGAGATGGTGAGAGAAGGAGAGAGTGTGAGAGAGAGAGAAAGCAACGGTGAGAGAGTGAGGGAGGAGAAAAGAAGACTGAAAAAGGAGGAGAATGAAAAAGAAAGACAAAGAGGAGGAGAGAGGGAGGAGAGAAAGCAATGGAGTCAGATGGAGAGAAAGAAGGGGAGGGAGGAGAGGAGGAAAGAACGTAAGCGTGAGTGCGACGAGAGAGAGGAAGACGTAAAAGGGGGAGCTAAATGATTAGAGGAGCGGGGGGAAAGTGAGAAAGAAAAAGTAGGATGGAAAGCAGAAGAGAGAGAGAGTGAAGGAGGGAGGGAGTGGGGGAGCAGATGAATGCACTTGCCTCCTCTGCTGTTTCTTGCCCCATGCTGTGAACATTTACATAAAGACACGCACAGGGTTTTGTACAAATCTGCTCCAAGGTTCAGACCCACAGTCCCTGCCAGCTTAAGGAGCGCTCTCTGAAGACCTGCCACCTGTCAACTTCACCTGTCAACTTCACCTGACAGGAGCAACAAAAACGTGTCCCGTGTCGTTCGTTATTAATATAAACGTGTATTTTGATTTTGACAAAAAAGTTGAGTCAAGAATTGATCGTTCAAGAACATTTCACTGTAAAGGCCCCAAATAGCACGGTAACAGTACGAGTGTGCAGAAATATTGATGTATCATATTGATTAATGGATGACACAGTATTGATATTGTGGAGTGCTGTATCAATATATCGCCAAGAGTATTTTGTGGTATATTTTAATAAATTATAGAGATGTAACAATAATTGAAGTATCGTGATATCGTATCGTCAAAGTTCTCACAGTAATATCATGGACCATCACAATATCTTGAATTACAAGTCTGTTTGCTTAAATTAAGAGTTATGGTGCAGCAATATCTAAAAAAAAAAGACAGAGGGAACTACATAGACCATGATCCTTTGCTCCATTTCAGTGCAGACTGCAAGAAGATATAACAGTTCTAAGCACTTTTAAGTCTTGGTTCTTTGGATTAAGTCTTATCAAGGCATTTTAAGAGGAAAAAAAATCGCATATTCACAGTTTTAGATGTTTAGCCTCTACAAAATGTCGCAATAAATATCGTACCGTGAGATGTATATCGTGAAAATATCGTACCTACAGATTTGGATATTGTTACATTCCTAATCGTGAGCCTTCCCACTATATCGTGAGCTTTCCCACGATATCGCAATAAATATCGAGCAGTGAGGTTCATACCGTGATGATATCGTATCGTGAGACACCTACTAAATTATTTTGTTGTGCTACATTTTTGTTGGAAACTTGTCTGTGCGACACATTTGACATTTTCACTGTTTTAAAGATTAAAATTTGCACAAGAAGTGCAAGAAGCCTTTTAGTATCAGAGCCATGATTTAGCCATTATTTTTATTGAACCGCATCGAATCAATTTCAAATATATCTTATTGAATCAAAAGTGCACTGTATCAAGATATGTATCGTATCGTGGCCTATGTATCGAGATATGTATCGTATTGACAACTTCTTAATGATACCCAGTCCTAGCTCACAATAATTCTGGCCCTAAGAGCTGTTGCTTTTGTATCTATATATTTGTACTAATTTTGTGCTTTTAAAAAAATCTGAAAAATTCAGAAAAATTTAAATTACAAACAAGAAATAATGTATTACTAAATCAATCTGGGTGTGATTAAACAAGGACTAAACCAAAACAAGTTGAAGCTGACCTTGTCAAATTCTAAAATATTTAACAGTATTTTTTCCCCCTTCTGTTTTTATTTCCAGACGAAAAAGACGGAATTTCAACAAGCAGGCCACAGAGATCTTGAACGAATATTTCTACTCGCACCTCAGTAACCCGTACCCCAGTGAGGAGGCAAAGGAGGAGCTGGCAAAGAAGTGCGCCATCACAGTCGCCCAGGTAACAAATTTAAAAGAATGAAACCAACACCAAACCAGGACTAAACCAGAACTAAACCAGGATTTGACCAGGACTATTTGGACTAGATTATGCCAGAGCCAGGGTAAAATCTGAATTACGTCATGGTTAAACAAGGATTTGAACATGATGATATTGGCAGAGGTTTTTTCAATCTTAAATCTGAATTAAACAGGACTAAAACCAGAACTAAAGGACTAAAACCAGGACTAAAATCAGGATTTAGCAAGGACTAAAATCAGTTCATAAACCGGGACTTAACAAGGACAAATCCACTCTAAATCAGGGCTAAACTATAGGATTAAACCAGGATTTATTAAAGACCAAAATCAGGACTTAAACCTAGACTTATTAAGGGCTAAAATCAGGACTAAACCAGGACTAAACTGGGACTTAATAAGGACAAAAAACAAAACTACAATGTGACTAAACCAGAATTAAATGATGGCTATAATCAGGACTAAACTGGGACTTAACAAGGATCAAACCAAGACTAAACAAGGCCTAAAATATGACTAAACTATGACCTAACAAGGACTAAACCAGGACTTATTAGGATTAAAATCAGCACTAAACCAGGAGTAAAACCAGGGTTAAAATCAGGACTTATAAGGACTAAAATCAGCACCAAAACAGGACTAAAATGAGAACTAAACCAGGACTTATTAGGATTAAAATCTGCACCAAAACAGGACTAAAATCAGGACTAAACCAGGACTTATTAGGACTAAAATCAGCACAAAACCAGGACTAAACCAGGACTTGTTAGGACTAAAATCAGCACTAAAATAGGATCAAACCAGGACTAAAATCAAGACTTATAAGGACTAAAATCCAAACTAAACCAGGACTAAAATCAGGACTAAACCAGGACATATTAGGACTAAAATCAGCACCAAAACAGGTCTAAAACCAGGACTAAAATCAGGACTCATAAGGACTAAAATCTGCACTAAACCAGGACTAAAACCAGAACGTATTAGGACAAAATCAGCACCAAAACAGGACTAAAATCAGGACTAAAATCAGTCTGAACTGAGTTAAAGTGCGTGGCTGGTATGAATACATTATGAGTACAGACAGCGCTCTAATCTTCAGCTGGTGCTTTCATTAAACAACAAAGCCGAGTGGAGTGGAGCGAGAATGTAGCTCTTCAAACCAGACACAAACACAGGCTGTTTCCATTGAAGCTCCACACTCTGCTGTCACTATGTACATGTCTCTACACTACTCACATGAACGCAGAATACAGTGTCATATTTAAAAGCATCCTTCACTTATCTGTGTTGTTTAATTAAATGAATAAATGAAAATGAGAGATCTTTAAAGGTGTATATTGTCGTCACGATACTTACGAGACCACAGTGATGATAAAAAATGCTCCCTTTTTAGTAATAGAATGTAATTTTCATATACATAATAATAGTAATTTCTTTATCTTAGCATGAGGTCTTATATTTGTTTTGATGACACAAAATTAAATACTAAAAATACTAAAAAAGCTGTCTTGTCCTGTTAATGTGATTTTTTTTTTTTTTGCAGTATGAATACTTGCTCAAATGAGTACTTTTACAATTGATCTTTAGTATTTTTAGTATACTTTTTTGGTGGAGGATCGGATTTGTAACCTAGTGCTTGATCTGGTGCTTGTTACTATGGGGATAGATTAGTTTAATGCCATACTGTGGAACATTCTAGGCAAGCAATAACATCTTAGAGGTAAGTGTAGTGGACCTTCGACCAAAAAGTAACATAGTGCAACTTTAAATACTCAGTGAATTATTTCAGTTTTATCTTTTATTTCAGAAAATATGTGACAGTCTATATTAGGTTGCAAAATTGTTTGTAAAACTAGTATTGAAACTAGATTCTAACTGGATCAAATTTGACCTTAACTTATCTTATCAGAGACCACATTACAACAACAACATCAACAACAACAACAAACTTTATTTATATAGCGCTTTTCATACAAAAATGCAACACGGAGCGCTTTACAGTGATTAAAAACAATTCCACATTTAAACACTTGGGTCTTGAGATTATGATTTGTGACATACTCCTTCTACTAACTATGTGGAAACTGACATAGCTATCTTCCTATCGCACTTCAAAACCCTCCTAAAAACACATTTTTTTCAAGATGGCATTTAACAGCCCATGAGCTCTATTTTAAACTATTATTTTTGTGCATCAAGTAACTTGTTTATGTAATATTTTATATATTTTATATTTGTGTTAGTGTTTTCACTATGTTGTGTTTCATGCTGTAAAGCACTTTGGTGCAACTTGTTAGGGTTGTTTTAAATATGCTATATAAATAAAATGACTTGACTTGACTTCTTTACAACTAACTGAAATCTGGAAATACTAACATTATTTCACTAGATAGGACCACACCAACGACAGTGTGAAGAAGTTTATTGATAATGTACGAAGCGGGACAGAGATAGCTGCGCTGAGACCCTACGTGGGGGCTCCGTTTCAATCTTCAATTGGCTCAACTGGAACGGGACCCCTTCGTAGGCGTCTTATGACTGAAAAACAAACAAAATAGGGGATGGGAGGGTGGGGTTGAGTTAGCCAAGACAAACTGGAATGATGGGAAAGGCTGCTACAAATAGGCTTTTGGGAAATTAGAGGTGTGGTCGAGGTGAGTTGTGGTTCGCTGGTGAGAGGAGAGGGCGTTTGAGGCGTGGTCCTGCTCCTGAATCTCAGTTAATAAACAAATACTACAATTTTATGTTAAAAATTACATTATTAGACATACATTAGACATTATTAGGCTCTATTCACATTACGTCACAAACCAGGAAGATGTTTGGAAAGATGCGATTACAACTTGAATAGGGGAGGGTTAATATAAGTTTTTCTTATTGCCTCTCCTTTTCGAGAAATGTGCGTTTCTGTTGTTTACAATGTATATGTAGTATACATGGATATTGTTTCTCTATTGGCACAAACTCAAAATAAAAACAAATCAATCAATCAAAACTTCAGGTGAAGTTACGGACACTGAGCTCTCCAACCGACTCTGAGAAATCTGAAGTAAATGTGATCAGTGGTAAAATGAAGACTGCATACATACGTGCTGTTTGGAATAATCTTGAATTTGGCGTCTCTTCTAATCGTATGTACCCAGTGCGATCGGAGTTGTGTTTCAATGGGGAAATTATGAAAACTGAGGTATGGTTAACGCTACAATGACATGTAGATGAAAAAAAAAACGGGACACTTTCAAATTTTTCCGACATTTTGTCAGACTTATGACCGTGAACAGAGCCCGCCTGAAGTTGTAATCGCATCTTTCCAAACGTCTTCCTGGTTTATGATGTAAGCATGAAAATAAATGATCAATATGTTATCAAAATCGATTTTAGTATCGTCACGATAACAAAAGAATGAGGATAAGAACAGAATAGTTTTGAAATTTTAATGGTATGCAAGCAAAATAGTGAAAAAAATGAACCACATTAAACCTAATTTCATTTTGAATATTTCCATTTCTAGAAAGTTTTCGTATTAGAGTCAAAGTCCTCACACATCTATTTTACCCAACCAACTTTTGATCTCAACAGAATCCATTCCAATACTGCTGATGAGTAAAAATGTAGATTTAGAGTTGTGTTCTGGCACTCGAGTCGTTTTTATGTTCTGAGAGTTGCTAACGACAAAAGCATTGCGAAGGTAAACAGCAGCGCGTGTTTTGAATCCATCACTTGTGAATAGATCGTTTCCTTTGCTTCTTTCATTAATTTATTCTCAACCACCCCTGATGCATGTGCGCTTGATTGTGAACGCTACTCGGCCCGCGCTTGATTTGTCGCGTTTCGGTTTGCCGCTCATAATAAAGGAGACTGTTTACCTTGGCAGCGCCGGGGAAAGTTCGGAGGATTGATTCGGTTTTCATTTTAATGTTGTTTATCATTAGTGGCGGGATTACCCCTCGAAGCTTCATCTGGGAGTGCATTAGCGCTAATGGGGGAGCTAGCCGATGTTGAGTGATTGGAGCGGGCGCGATGATAGCTACCGTCATGGAGTCATAATGAGACTGTTATTGGCAATCATTGGGTTCTGGAGCTAATGCAGATTCACAGCACCAGTCTGCGATGCTGCTGCTGCTGAGGCTAAGTGAGACATCTCTATTTCAGTGGTTCATAGGGTTTACAGGGTGTTATGGGGAAAGCAGGGGAACAAAGGTGTGAATGGCTCGCTGTTGTGGTCTTGATGGCATGAAAACACAACACAAAATGCTCAGAATTAGGCCACAGCAGTGTATAAGGTGGCTCTGAGAGGAGGTACTTATCCTCAAACCTATGAACCTCTGCTCTGAGCTGAAAAAACAGCACAATACGGGTAGTGTGCTGCTTACATAGATACACTCGGCCTCGTCCATTGAGGGAAAAAAAATGAATGAATAAAAACATAATGTATGATGCACTAGTGTACACATGCATCATTTAAAGGTGCCCTGCTTCGGTCCAGGTATGAGCCCAGTTTAGTCCTGAGTTTAACACTGGTCTAGCCCAGCCTGGTTTAGTCTCAGATTTTGTCTAATTCCACGTTTAGATGAGTGTTTTTCATACGGTGACGTAAAAGTGTGTGGAATTCGATTGGGTATGCATGCCAGCCTGCTCAGTGGTGATGTTAGGTGGTGATGTATGTGATGTAAACCCCTACGCGACGTGACCAGAGTTTTGCGTCTTGGGCAGTGTAGATGGAAACGCTGGAGTGTATTCAATTTTTCCACTCTGGAGGGTGGTTTCAGAAAATGCCGTCACAGTCTTAACGAAAGGCACTTCCAATAAAATATTTTGTAGTTTTTACCCTCAAGCGTTCTTGTGTAAATAGGCCCTCGTTTGTTTTTTTGTGTGTGTAGCTTGTGTCTGATTGTGAATGCACCCTAAGAACACTCATTCTGGATTCTCCAAAAAAATGTGACATTGGGTTAATGCCAAAATTTCAAACTTGATTTTGATTCTTAGGAACAGACTCAGTACTGGTCAACACTGATTTTGATCAGTCATCCCTGAAACAAGCACTTTTAAAGTAATATAATAGTTGTGTATTAAGCATATATCCTATGAATTTGGATATGTTTATTTATACACTACTGGTCAAATGTTTTAGAACACCACACTTTTTCTAGTTTTTTACTGTTTACTGTTGACCAAAACGTACTCTAAACTTTTGATTCATGAATGTGTCCACATTTGGCAGATATAACAGCTGAACACACTTGTGGCTTGTTCTTTTTACAATAGAAATCAAATATTCTTCAGAAAGTTCTTCCCAAGTCTGTTGCAGAAGTTCCCATAAATGTGTGGCACTTGTAGGTTGCTTGATTTTCACTCTTCTGTCCAGTTCATCCCAAAACCAGCTTGATGGGATTTAAGTCTGGAGACTGCGTTGGACACTCCATGTTTACCTTTTTTTTTTTTTCCTGAGGTAGTTTTGGCAGAGCTTGGAATTGTGTTTTGTTATATTTTATCAGTTTTTTAACCTCTGGCTGTTTAGTATTTACCTTTGTACCATTTGAAGCTCTTCATTGAACTTGCACGACTTGAACTGTAAAAAATAAGGGTTTTCTAAAACTTTTGAGTGGTAGTGTATGCTACAGATTACATATCTGTATTCTGCAAAGTTCAGACCCCCTGCCTTAAAAAAGTGCACTACACTACGTACATCATGTTTTCAAATCAAAATGTAGGATTAAATCCAAGGGGCCTGTGCCTCAGTACAGCTGAACATCTGGTGAGCTTCTTGTCCTCAGGAACCATTTGTTGGGTGTAAAGGGCAATTGGTTCATTTACTACAGTCTACAATAAAACACATATGTAAATATACATGTTGTAACTTGGATGTAGTAGCCTGTTTTTTGGTTTGCTTTTTTTTGTCAGTCATGTGTTGTCAGGTCTCTTACTACTGTATATGTTGTGCGATTTGCTTATAACTTGATGTTAGGGATGTAACAATAACCGAAATATCATGATATCGTATCGTCAAAGTTCTCACAATAATATCCTGGACCATCACATATATCGAATCACATGTCTTTTTGCTTAAATTAAGAGTTATGGTGCAGCAATAGCTAAAAAAAAAAAAAAGACAGAGGAAACTACATAGACCATGATCCTTTGCTCCATTTCAGTGTAGACAACAAGAAGAAATAACAGTTCTAAGCACTTTTAACTCATAGTTCTTTGGATTAAGTCTTGTCAAGGCATTTTAAGAGGAAAAAGTAGTGTATTCACAGTTTTGTTTGCCTCCACAAAATATCGGAGGTTCACACCGTGATGATATCGTATCGTGAGACTTGGATATCGTTACACCCTAACTTGATGTCCATGTGTTTTTCTCTTGATAACATTAAAGCCACAGCATCCAATAATCTATTTTCCATCTCTGTCTTGTTTTCTGCTCAGGTTTCCAACTGGTTTGGGAATAAAAGAATCAGATACAAGAAAAACATTGGTAAGTTCCAGGAGGAAGCCAACATGTACGCTGCGAGAACTGCCGTCAGTGCGGCTAACGCGTCCTCACACGGGAGCCAAGCAAATTCACCCTCCACTCCGAATTCTGCAGGTGAGACAGGAAGTCAAGGCTGTGCGCTCAGCTGTCACCTCTCTGTGCAGTGTAGACGCTAGACACGAGCATTGTGCACTAGGGTTAGAAGAGACACTAGATTAGGGGTCTCCTACTTTCCCACATAGACCCTTTAACGGCTGCTAAACAAAAACAACAAACAAAAACATTTGGAATGGAACATAATGCAGTTTCAATGGAGAAATTAAGATTAATCAAAGAATATTAAAAGTGTTTTTTATTTTATCTACAGACATATTCCAAACTCTACCACAAATTATTCTTTTGTGAAGTTCAAATATATTTTAGAAGCCAGAAGTCCATGATCTGTAATAGAAATTCAAAAAGCAAACCACATTTCTACCCCAGAAATGTTAAAATATTGCTTTGTTTTGATCATTGAAATTGTATTATTGCCCCCAGTTACCACCATCCTAGAGTTTTGAACATTCTAAGCATTTTAAAGGGTCTATAAACTAACTACTAACTACAAAATCAGAGAGATACTTGCATATTGTAACATGAATCCATTTATGCATCATCTAATACTTATTTCAAGCAGTGAGTTGTAGATAACTAATCATCTAACTCATTTATTTTTAAAATCAAAGCTATATTTATTTCTAGTGCATGTGCATTTTAGTTACAAACCATTTACATTTTAAGCTGTGGGACAATGTATTTTAAGTGTACCTCACTAAATACACATATACATTTTCTGAAGGTTGGTTTGCCAAGTCAGAAATCTGAATTCATTCGCGGATATAGAATTAATATAACCTTTGGGGAGTTATTTGGAAAGGGGTGGAGAGAGTTACATAAACAAACTGCCCTGAGCCCCTCACCAAGTCGCCATCTTCTTAATGCTTTGTTTTCTTCTGATATAGTTTAACTCTGCTTTCAAAATGTACATATAGCATTTGCAACTAACCTAATTTTACTCTGCATTCTTCACACTAACCTTATGTAGTAAACTGTTGCATTATTTAAAATTTACATTCAAGTCTAAGCAACTGTGCTATAGGCGTTTGTGCAGGCAGAGAAGTCCTCTAGATACTTTCTGAGGGTCTGTGTACCGTTCGTTCTTTTGGATTCCAATTAAGAACGAAAAACAATGACATGGGAAAACAGTTTGTTATCTCATTATTCTGTTTTAGTGTCAGATTCAATGTCTATTTCCAATATTTAATTTAAAGTTTATTTCAAATAACACCAATCAAAAAACAGACATTGTGCCTCTTTCAGTTTTTATATTTTATTCTCTCTGGTTTATTTTCCTGGAAATTCTACTGCTAGAGGGACTTAGTCATTGTTGAACTCCATGACGAGAAACAGGAAGCAGCGATAAACTGTTGACACTGAATTCACACACGGCGTGCTGAGCAACAGAACTTATGGGACATATGAACCAAAATATGAATAAAAATAAAATAAAAAACAGAATAAAATATCAACATCATTAAAATAGGGACCAAAATAGACTTTTTAGACTGATTTTTGAAAATAGACTTTTTTTTGACTCATTTCTGGTGTTATTTGAAATTTACTTTAAATTAAATATTGGAAATAGTTCAGTTTTTCTGTTTGACATTAATATGGAATAATGAAATAACAAACTGTTTTCCCATTTTATTGTTTTTGTTGATTGAAATTCAAAAGAACGAATGGTACATGGACCCCTGAGATATAAGTCTATTCACAAAGTCACTTCTATACCGTAGCTTATTTAACATTAAAACTGTAAAATTTTTATTCCTGTTTCCACATCTCTAACAAACTGTACACAGTTCCTTGACTCTTACTCGCTTTTTCATGTACACACTTCAAACTCTGCTAACCCACAAGCCTCACTAACCCAACTCGCCCCACACACTGCAGGCTACATTTCTCCATTTCTCCCTCTGGCTCTGCACTCCGGCTGTGGCGTGGCCCCGACCAGAGGCTGGCTGTCTCTTTAGCTCAGCGCTAACTGCATGGTGCCTGTCATAGAGCTGCTCGCTTTAGCCTGTCCTCTCTCTGTCTCCCTGTCTCCTCCAGGTTCTGGTGCCTCTTTTAACATGTCCAACTCGGGCGACTTGTTCATGACCGTGCAGTCTCTGAACGGGGACTCGTACCAGGGAGCACAGGTGGGGGCCAACGTCCAGTCACAGGTAGGGGGTAGGGGTAGACTAAATCAAACAATACAGTTAAATATGAGGACAAATAAACAATAGAAATAAACAAAGTAAGTAGTGCAGTGTTATCAGGTCTTTGTTCGACATTTCTTATTAGCAAACACTTCTAATTAAAGAGTTACACCTTTCTTTCGTGCTTTTCTGAACTATAATACAACAATTTCAACCTGGTATTAAAAATGTATGTACACTTTTTTTTTTTTATTGGCTATATTAGACTAAATATAAGCAAGTATTGAAGGCTTGTAGGGCTCTATGGTAGCATTCTAATAATGCTTTCTAAACATGAGTTTTAATAAAGTAAAATTACATTATGAATAGGATAGTAGGGCAGTTATTTTCTTTTCATGACATAATGCTTCCCACAACACAGACCTATTGTAATCCTGCTTATTGTAAAATGGCATAAACTACTTTTACTTATATAATGAAGTATTTATTAAATGTATTAATACTTGCTAATTCAGTAATAATAACAGGCTAAATAAAATTACTAAGTTCATGGAAATCCTGGAAAAGTCATGCAAATTGTAAATTTAATGAAAATTTTGGAAAAGTCATGGAATTTTAGTATCTCTTTGACGCAACTACAGTGTTCTGTTAAGTTCTCATTAGGCTGTTATGATTATTTCCGAACGTATCCGCATTTTGTTTAAAAGAGATGACAATAAATGCACTGACAGTATTTTGAATGTTAAAAAACTATAATACCAGACCACCAGGTGAGTGGAAAGGGTTAACATTTCATCTTTACACCTAAAAGTCTGATCAATTCTACACATGCAGGGTGCTGTAAAGTCAAGGAAAAATCACTTTAGGTCATGAAAAAGTATGGAAAATGTTTGAAATTTTGTCAGTGAAAAAGAGTAGGAACCCTGTAAGTTCTTGTTTTACCCATATATGCAAAAGTATGAATTTTAAATGAAATAATGAATATTTGTTTGTAAACGCAACCAAGTAAAATCAGAAATCGTTTTGCCATTTGAAAAAAAATCACAAACTTTGGCGATATGGTGCCTAAAACATAAAACAATGAATAAAAACTGTACAATAAAAAAATATGATAAAATAAGGGCTTGTGTTTGAGGTGTTATTAAAAAATAGACGTTGAATACAAGTAGACTTAATATAAATACAAAACATACTTGAACAAATTGAGCACTGAACTAGTATAGAAATAGATGTTAAAAAAATATTGTACTAACCTAATCCCATAAGGCCCCGAGTGTGAAAGTGCCAGTGCTGTTAAACTTGTATCTTTTGTGTGACCTTGCTTTGTTTGCTGTCTCCAGGTGGATACCCTTCGCCATGTTATCAGTCAGACAGGCGGATACAGTGAAGCGCTCTCGGCCTCCCAGATGTACAGTCCACAGGGCATCAACGTAAGACCCTTTTCTTCTCCTCTGCCAATTATTTCAGCACCAGGGGGCTCTCTCTGCCTGTTAGGGGGGACGTGTCTTGTGTGCGGTCCCCTCTGCTCCGGCGCCGGGGGGTGGGACACACACACAGGCGGAGGGCAGGCTGTCGCGTCCCGTTAGCTCAGGGCTACCTCCTCACACCTCAGGAGCCCTCACAGCGGCGCACCTGGGATTAGCATTAGTGCACGAGGCTAACGCTGCTGCAGGCGATGGCGCTGACAGGACAGGGGCTGGGGACAGGTGACAGTGTGAAGTGGAGTCTTGGGGGAAGTCGAAAAGTCAATGCGCTGTTATAAATTTAGATGAGTTTTGTAAGGCTTTGAAATAGCAGACTGTGAAAACAAAAAAAGTGATTCTACTTTTTGGCACTTGCAGCCCTAGTGATTTATTTTATTATTATTATTATTTTTGTAGACAAGTTAAAGAATGAAAACAGTAGCACATGGATGAAAACAGGGAATAAAACATGCATAAATACAGTGCTGAATAATTTTATTTAAAAAGTAGAAACACTTTTAAAAACCCAAAACATGCTACATACGTCTCCAGGATGATTAACTGATAGCTAATGGAGGTCAATTAAATGCAATAAAACAATAAAAAATTAAAATGCATATACCAGAACGGTTGCTTGAAAAAAGCAGAGTCAGCAATAAGCACAATTTAAATAATTTTCAATTTAAACATATATTTTGCAAAACTCATCATTCAAAAATATTCATCTTTTTTCCTAAATTTGTATGTCTTTGTCAAAAAAGTTGTTGTTTATTACTAAGGGTGTGCATTGCCTTGAGTCTGAAGATAGAATACATATCATGGTTCACATGTCACGATTCGATATATCGCGATATATCCCCGATACTAAAACAACAGATGATATATTGCAATTTATCAATAATTAGTTCTAATCATATTGTCAACTACACCTTCATGAGAAGTAGATTTTTGAAATAGAAATATTATCTTTTTAAAATCATGAGAACAGTGAAAATATTTAAAAACTCGATTCAGATGCACTTCAGATGCACTATATCACTGAATCAATTTTTTCTGACACCCATTTATTACTGTGTAGCTATTTGGTTAGAAAGACCCAAGCCGTATGCGACAGTTCAAGGTGAAATTTGGTGAACAATAAAATAGGATTGTCAGAAGCATCAGATAATTCAAAGTAAAACTAGAATCGAATCTGGATACTCGTTTAAGCAAGTATCGATACTGAAAAAAATCACAACTGGATCAAGTTTGACCTTTTGTAATTCTGACTATTTTATTCCTATTTGACTGTTTTACTGTATTAGAACTAGAATAAGACAACACAAGAAACAAATAATCCAAAAACGTTCATTTTGTCGTTTTACGTACATTAACATGTTGGGCTCTTTTTAAAGACAGTACAGTAGGAGGTTAGGTTAGGTTAGGTTGCTTTATTCGTACCTGTAGGTAAATTTGTTTTGCAGATTTGAGAAGCTGATCCCACATTTCACATTTCAGTCATTCACATTATCCACAATAAAGACGTATAAAAACACAGCAACAAGATAAAGTGTTACAGTGCTGAAGTGCAGAATGGTTTTGCTCCATAAACACTTAATTCAATTCATCAATCACGCTTGGCTAAGATCACAATAAATATTACATATATAAAAAAGACCAAATTTTTCCAAGACAGTGTACTAAAATTGATTATTTGCTGCTATCACACTTACTAATAAATAAGTACGATAGTAGAAAATAATCAAATAATAGCAGCTGGAATGAAGCTCCTTTAAATCGATTTCTTCTAGATCTTGGGACTAAAAGTCTCTGACCTGAGGGAAGCAGCTGAGGTGTATTTACTTTGTTGAGTTAATAATAAACAAATAATATTATATTGTTGTGAAAGTTACAATATTGTCTAAAAATAGCTTTGAAAATGATCATTTGGATAGATAAATTCAGTATTGAGTCTGTTCTTTAGTATCGAAATCAAGTTTGAAAATTTAGTATCATGACAACACTACAATGAATGCAGGACTCAAAAAAAAACAAAAAACATTACTTTTGGAAAGCTATAAATGTAATATTGAAAAATCCTGAACATTTTTTGAAAAGCACACTTAAAATATTACATTAGGTCGCCCTGTGCATCACTTTAGTCGTATTAAAACCGACTTAAAGGGGGCGGGGCCTGGCTGGCGGCGGTACACACGGGCGGAAATCCGCAGCGACAAGCCAAATCGCACAGGGGAAAATCGATGGGACAGACACAGGGACGGCCAGTGTGGACTCGGGACAGCAATCCGAGCGCATTCTCCTGATCTCAGCGTTGCCGCGCTAATGGCCCTGACAGGAGCGGAGTGCACACACGAGGTCCCGCCCCCCTATGGTAATCCGACGGGAAACACAGGAGCGCAGTGTATTCAAATGGGAGCCAGTCATCCTAACCCCCAGAGGAAGCAAACGTATTCTTTAGCCTCCTGCGGGCTGTTCTCCATGGACGCTTGCCCGCTCTAGCACGTCCTATGCAGTCACACTTGCAAGTTAGAGTCGGGTTTTAGGGTGTAGGAAAGCACACTGAGGCATTTCTGTTTTTATGAATGAAATCAGAAAGGGAATCAATCAGATTTTACCATTTTGCAACTAAAATCTTGAAACTGAAGTTGCGATCTCTGCTGTATTTTCGGTTTTGAATTTCAGTTTTTAGGAGTTGCACTAAAGGATGTATTTTAATTTATTTTGTTTAGTTTTAGTTTATTTAGTTTGCCATTGGATAGGAAGCGTGTAAGGCTCGTTAAAATAAAAAATAGACTCCCACACTCGGTCAAACTTGCAAAAAGTGATCTTTATTTACAGTGGAGCAACATTTCTGCAACTTTTTTCTTTTTCTTTTTTTGTGTCTGATGAAGGTCTAGTTGCCAAAACATTGTTCCACTGTAAATAAAGCTCATTTTTCCAAGTTATACAGAGTGCAAGAGTCTTTCTGTTTTTGATATACCTGATCAATAAATGTTGTTAATGTATATTTTTTTAACAAAAGTGAAAAGTTAATTTGTGATCTTTACTTCAACTTAAGAGAAATGTATTGGTCTTGCTAGGGATTTTAATTATCATATCAGTAAATGTTGTAAATATCACACACACCAGCAAGACATATAATAGATAACGTTATAGGCTCAAAAATCCACATTGGACCATCCCTAACTGATACTTATTTATTTATTTATTTATTTTAATTAAATCACAGTTTGAATCGTTACAATTAGAAAATCACAATGTTTGCATTTATTTATACAACATAATGTCCTTTCTAGAGATGTGGGGTCCTTATAAGTAAGTATAAAACTAAATGCACTGATGTATATTTTAATGCTAACACAGATGTTGAAATTTTGGCTTAATGTTAAAACTGTTCTTTATCCTAAAAGAAACAGCATCACTTCTTTGTAAAGTTTTTATAAGTTTAAATATGAAATGTTCTGGGCCAACAGCTATTAAATTACATTACAGAATACAGATAGCATTACAGAGAGCAGATTCAGTGTTTTCTCTTGTTTTTCAATTTTTTGTGGATTGCGGAGTTAGCAATTTGGGGGCCCTAGGCGAACTTGAGTTTGGGGCCCTCACTATAATATTTATTAATGTTATAAAATGTTTTTTTTTATATATATTTATTGAATTATGGTGTGTTATTAGTTAGGTAGCCTACTAGCCAGAACTGAAAGTACTTTTATTTTTTTTGCTAGTACAATTACATTGTTGTTTACATTCATTACATATGATTATGATGATTTTTCTTATGATTATTGTTTAAAAGTTAACTACTCTCATTTAATGTCATATTGAGAGAAAATTTAATTGCTCTGAGGCCTTGGCCATTAGTGGCACTGACGGCAATTGATTGGGGGCCCCTCCAGGTTTGGGGGCCCTAGACAGCCGCCTACTTTTGCCTAATGGTAGCACCGCCTCTGTGCCTATATAAAACCTGCTTACCATGTACTTTTGACCTCTAAAAACACATTCTCAAATGAAAAGTATTCTTGTTTTAGCTTAACAGTCTTTATTTTGGTCTGATCTCATTCTGGATTCGTTTATACACAGCAATTTGAGTTACAGTCTATATAAACGTATATCATTCTGGATACATTTATATACACCGTAAATCGAATATGAAAGTAGGATTATTAATAAATTTTTTACCTTAATTTTCTTGTCGCCCTTTATTGTGCTCTGCTTATTTATACAAAGAAGAAGCAACACATACAAGACTGTGCAGTGAAATGAATTTTGATCACGATTTTGATTTGTCTGTCAAACAATCTCCAAACTCATATAATCAAGTTGAAATGATAAAGCTTAACAAAGTTTATTTTGGAATATTTTGTATATAAATATGTATATTTATTTATTTTTTTAATATAGAGTTTGTAGAACAGCTGGATATATAGTTTATTTAGGATACATTTATGTTTTTCTAAGCCTTATTTCATGTCCAAAGTATATTTTATTTATTTTATGTTTTATACATCGGAAAACTGATCTAAGGTACATATTTGTAGCCTATTTTTATTTTTAGTTTGCAAGTTTTGCGTAAATTATCAATAACAAAGTGGCTTTTTTTTTAGAGAGAAATGCTGAATAAATGCATAGTTTTTTTAATCGTGATTTTGATATTGACCAAAATAATCGTGATAGTGATGTTTTTTCCATATCATCATACACACAAACAACCAGACAGTTAGACTTATGGCGTATCTCTCCCAGTTGTGGTCACTAACGTATTCCAGCGATGCTCCGGGTCGGCCTGTTCTCCTTGGACGCGTGCCCGCTCTAGCACGTCCTACACTGGCACAAACCGCTGCGTTCTTCAGGTTTAAGGCGGTAAAGAAGCTCCGTGATGCATTATGTAACAGCAGGATCTCTGTCAGAGCCTGTTCACTGTCACTGACATTCAGGACTTTACATATTTTTAGACTTGAATGTGTTTGGGAGGAATTCAGCCGGATCTTTTGTTTTGCTCAAAGATGACTCCATGTTGGATATAAACGTACTTATTCCCAAATACTATAGAATAGAGCCCGACCGACATGGATTTTGCTGTGGCCGATATGAAACCGATATAATGGGAGTTGGAGCTGCCGATATAATCGCCGATATGTTTATTTTTATTTTTTTTAATCCTACGTACACGTAAATTTCTCAAAGTTTCGTTTTTAGCCGCTGCCGCTGTCAAACCACGAATCACGCGGCGTGAAGAGAAAAAAAGTGAGAGAAAGAGAAAACACGGCTCCCAATAAGGATCAGGCTCCCGTCGTTCCCTTCAAAGAGCCGGTTCTAAGAGTCATTTCGTTCGCGACGGACCCATAACTAGTAAAGAAAGTAGCGCTATTAGCCTTTAGCCGTAAATACGTGCGCGCCGCGGTAATTAATTATATGCGCAAATGTCATAATTCACACCTCTATTCACAGCTCATTTACATATCAGTGCAGGTCCAGTAGCAAATATACGGCCAATATAGTCACTTTAGAACAGACCAATAGAAAACAGCCTGTTTATGTGCGGGAGCTACAGCAGCTAACCCATAACAAATGACAAAAACTAGCTTCAGAGTCGACATATTTCCAACACTCACCGCTCATACAGGCTCCTCCTCACATCACAAATCTGCACTAATAAATGTCCTTTTAATCCAGACTCAAACCGATTGTCCGTAAAAAGAATATCATCTCAGTGTTTGGATCTGTGTCTGCGAGTGTAAACAAACACACGTGAGTGACGCGACTCTGTGGTGTGTTCAGGGGACAGTACGGACACACACAGACAAATGACTCCGTAGATAAATACTGATGTGGAGCCACATATTAGGACATTTATCTGTCTGTAAATTGGATTAAATGAACAGAATGTAGAGAGTCTAAGCTTTATAACGAGGTATAACATGCCCACGTGAAATATCGGCCCCTATCAGCAAGCATTTCGGCCGATAGCCGATATGCCTAAAGTTGCCCATATCAGCCGATAATATCGGCCAACCGATATATCGGTCGGGCTCTGCTATAGAAGTACACTGTAGGGATGAAAGACGAATCGCAATCAAATCAAAAGCACAGTCGGCAGATCACAAAGGAGCTGTTTTTGCGGTTCTTAAAGTAACATAATTTCCTCCACAAACAAGAAAATTCTGCATAAAAACTGTATACCATATATTTTGGAACTACACAAACAGGTTCTGAAATGTCATTCTTGTATTAGATTGTCAGTTCATATTTCATTTTATTCTGTTTTTGTGTTTTTTTTGTCAATTTTCCCAAACGCATTTGTTACGTGAACTACTAGAATCCTATTATTAAAATCACAAATTTAAAAAAAATTGCAACTCAATATTTTTTCCAAAATTGTTTAACCCTAGTACACGGTTTATTTTATATATTAATAAAATTGTCATTACTTAAAATGACTTAAAGATGTATTTTTGTGTAGTTTTGAATATTATGGGGTTTTATTTTTGTCTGGAAACTTTGAATTCAAGCAAATGCTGTTGTCTGTCATTATGAAATTTTTAAATGTAATTTTTGCCAACACTTTTTTTAATTATTTTACTGTAAACTCCCAATTTTCTTACTTCAGTGGCATTAAATCCTTATTTGAGTAAACAAAAATACATATTTAACCATTAATACTTGTTAATACTACTGTGAAGATTCGCATTTCAATGTTTTGACTATTTTTGCAGTTCAAAACATTCCCGATTTTGATGTCCTTTGTCCACAGTGCAATATAAAACATGGCTTATTTACTGCACTGGCCCCTTAAATGTACTTACAGACAACTGGCTTCAAATATGAACTATAAATATACACATAAAGATGAATTCCTGAGCAATTGTTTTCTTATAGGATCATTCTTCATTATCTGAATTTATCGTCTACCTCTGAAAGCTCCATCTTGAAATCCCTCTTTCTGCTCCAATGCAAACTTGATTGTGTTGCTTTATATCAGATATACAAGCCCTCATTTGTCCAGGATGAACTCCGCGTATAACGGAGCACAGAGATTAGTTATAGCTTTGGGCCTTGGTCTCCACTTCCCAGCATCCCCGGCTGCGATCGCTCACTTCTGTTCCCCCAGGACATTTAACTGTGGCATCTGTCTCAATATAAGATGCCACATCAAGTACATAACCTACTGTACTGATCCTGTTAAGTAAAATTTCTCTGAGTTGAGAAAATGTTAATGTTTGTATTCATTAAATCTATTTTTTAAAGGGCCCATATTACACTGTTTTCTGATCTGTGTTATAATGTGGTTTCCTCATCAAAAACAGACCTGGAGTTGTGTTTTGTTTCATTCACACATGTTTAACACACAAAACCTGCATATTTAGGCTTCTTTTATCTTCTCTCAAACACAAAACACTCTCTTCCATGTAGTTAGTTATAGAGAGGTAATTGATATTAAAGATTGGAATTTAAAAGTTCTAAGTTAAAGCAGGACTCATGTGGCCTTTGTGAGTGTTTGGCTTTGACTAGAAGTAGAGTTTTGGGGCACAGCTAAACAGATGTTGAGAAGTATTACCAATACAATATAATCAATTATCTAAGTTACTTAATAATCAACTAAACAACTGTTCTGAATGTTGATAGATTCTTGTCCATATCAGTGACACATATCTGGAAATAAGATAATTATTTATGAAAGCAAATTGTGCTTTATTTATTTATTGACCAAGTTAAGCAGACAGTATTTAGATATGAAATATTTATGAGTGTAGGCTCATCTAGACTGGTGTCTGAAGATTGGAGATTAGGCATAATTTTAAGAGTTATCTAAAGTTATGTGTCGAGTCTAAACTGATCAATTAAGACATTCTGTCATATGTGCACATACAACCAGGAGAGTGGAGATGTCAGTCACGGTGAGGTACAGGGGTCCAATGGTTTGGAGATCTGAAGTTCTCAGGGCATCAGGTCTGAAGAATCAAACAAGCTGGGACAGACAGAGTGATGTGATCTAAAAAAAATAACTCCAGACACAGGCAGTGTCAGGCTGAAGGAACACTGTATCTTCTGTTTAAAGAGGAGCAGAAGACACCTTCTTAGTGTCCATGAGGTCTGGAGAAGCACTGGTCACAGATTAAGACCAATCAATCAATCAAAAGGCTACTGGCTACAAAAATGCAAATATTTAAATTTGGAAAAATATAAAAACAGATTTCAGTCAGATTAGCTACAGTAATTTGGATAAAAACACATCAAACTATTTGTTTTGGTGAAAACTTCCTTCTCGATACCAGGGTGCTTCTCGCAGTTTCATGGGTCAACCTGTAACATCCACCTTGTGATGTGGATGATGTGGATGTGCTCCTCTGTGTTTCACTACAATTATATGAATCATTTCAGCCCAGAAATTCCCCATCTCTACTTAACGAAAGGTAAAAGGTAGCTGTTAAAAAAACACCACTTCATGACATCACAAGTTGGAATAGAGCATTTGGAGGTGTAGACAAACTAATTATAAAGGGTTACTCAAACATGTACGAATGAAACAAAACACATCTCCAGGTTTGTTTCTGAGGAGGTACCTAACATCCTAACATGGCTTAAAGCTCACAGGAGTCAATTTTGCTTAATATAGGACCTTTAAATAGATTATGTAACATTTGTGATTTGCTAATTTGAGTCAATTGCTATAATGCAGCCTCGACACTGTACACTATTTCTCTTGTGTCTGTGTTTTCAGGCAAACGGCGGCTGGCAGGACGCCCCCACCCCCTCCTCAGTCACTTCACCCACAGAAGGCCCAGGCAGCGTTCACTCGGACACCTCCAACTGATGCCCTCCCATCCCATCCGCCCCCAAAGTCCCTCTACCCCACCCCGCCATGGACCCTTCAGGACTGGACTCTCTTTAAGCTGAAGTCCTGGATCTCCTCCTTCAGATCGGGACCAGCAGCGCAGCCTGAAATGAGACTCAAATCTTCAGACTTTGTACAGTTTCACGTCCAAATCTTTGTTTCGTTTTTTTTGTCTTTCTGGTGTCATGAGGTCACACAGTTAGCAGAGTAAGGCCCACGAGTTGTCATGGAAACGCAGTCACTACCTCGGTGCACTTTTGTAACGGTCGGGGATGGGCTGCACTGGTGTAGGTACCATTATTCGAGGCAATTTGATAGGCTTGGTTTAAAGGACACACATTATGCATTATTAGTATTACTGAGCACGCTTTTCAGTTTTTAAGGGTCAAAATTGGATGAAATGGGAATGAAATGGTCATTATTCGTTCTTTCCATTATACATTTAAACACAAAATCGAAAACTGAAAAAATTAATTGTTATGCTTTTTTTTTTTTTTTTTGGTTTTGGAGACAAATAATGAAAAAAATAGCATTTTTTTCTTATTTTTGGTTTTATTTTGAAAAACAAATGATTGCTACACAGATTCAGCATTTTTATAGAGCCCCACATTCAGCTTCAGCGCTTTCTTGAATTTGGTGTTCGCACGGCATCTACCTGTAGTCGTGGAAATGATCAAGTCACTTACGTCACAAGCCAGGAAGACGTTTGGAAAGATGCGATTACAACTTCTGGTGTAGTTACTGACAATGGGCTCACCTAACATGGATCTATTAAAACCGGAAAAAAAAAAACATTGAAGTAAATGTGATCATTGGTAAAATGAAGTCTGCATACGTATGTACTGTTTCGAATTATCTTGAATTTAGCGTCCTTGTCTCTTCTAATCGCATGTATCCAGTGCAATCGGAGTTGTGCGTCAGTGGGGAAATTATTAACAATGAGGTATGGCTGTAATTGTTGATTAGCTGAACATAACGGAACACTAGGGATGTAACAATAATATCTCACTCACAAAAATATCGTGGACCATCACAATATATCGAAAAGTCTCTTTGCTTAAATTAAGAGTTATGGTGTAACAATAGCTAAAAAAAAAGACAGGGGGAACTACATAGACCATGATCCTTTGCTCCATTTCAGTGTAGACTACAAGAAGAAATAACAGTTCTAAGCATTTTTAAGTCTTAGTTCTTTGGATTAAGTTTTGTCAAGGCATTTTATGAGGAAAAAGTAGCATATTAGCAGTTTTAGCTCTTTAGTGTCCATAAAATATGGCAATAAATATCGCACCGTGAGATGTATATCACGAAAATATCATACCGAGAGATTTGGATATTGTTACATCCCTAATTGTGAGGTTTCCCACCATATCATGAGCTTTCCCATGATATTGCAATAAATATCGTACCATGAGGGTCATACCATGACAATATCGTATCGTGATACATGGATATCGTTACACCCCTACGGAACGCTACAATGACATGCAGATGAAGAAAACTGGGCCTGGGAAGTTGTAATCGTATCTTTCCAAACATCTTCCTGGTTTATGATGTCAGCCTGAATAGAGCCTATACAGGTCTGCAGTAATGAATGCGATTTGATAGTAGAAATGCTCAGAATGAGTCTGAGACCTTCGGATTTTTACCTTTAACGTAACAATCTGAGGAAAATTGAAACAGTGCTTTCTATGTCTCAGAGGTACTTCAAAAACAGGATTCATGAAATAAGCGTTAATGAAGCAAAATACAACTCCAGGTATGTTTTGGATGAGGCAACATTATAACAAAAAGCTCAAATAGCTGAATTTTGCATACGATGTGTCCTTTAAGACATTTTTATAGTTTTATAGTATATTTTTTTTTTTTTATTGTATACACTGAATATTCAAAAATATAGAAGCAGACAGGAGAAAGGATAGATATTTAAAGGTGCACTGTGTAATTTTTTTTGGTGGAGGTGTCATTGCTGTGCCTGAAATGTTCAACAGTATGACATTAAACAGCTCTACCTGAAGTTTATTAAATTACAGGTAGGTTTATAGCTCAAAAATACTTAGAAAAAAGGCATTTTGACTGTGAGCGGGGTCACCTCTCCACAGATCTGACCTGTAACTTGGTCTGGTTTTGGCTCCATGAAGATTGAAAGGTTTAATATCATACTGTGAAACATTCCAGACAAACCGATAACATCTCCATGGAGAAAAGCATTTGATGGATCCTCCACCAAAAAAGTTACACAACGCACCTTTAACTTTTTGTACTATTTTTGGAAACACTTCATAAATACAACCACAGCTCTGAACACTACAGTCATCAAACGTATCAGTCAATTCTCAGAAACTTGTATTGCTAAATTCAAATACATTCGTCTGTGTTTTTAACCATAGATGTGCTAGTCTATACATTATTTTGGCAATTTGTATTAAAAAAAAGAAACTTCAATTTGAAATGTAATCGCAATTTATATTTACTACATTCACATGCAATAAATGAAATCTCAGGTAAATCACACAAAATAGAACAATACAAAAACACATATTGTGTGTTTGCAGTAAGAAAAAGACGCTGAATTTGCTTTAGAGTTAATAATTTTGATTTGAGTATTGGCCTGTATATTGTGCACAGCATAACACATAACTGAAGCTATAGCAATAAAAGTTTTACCAAGAGTGGATTTCATGACATAAATGAGACTAGTTTATAAGAAGAAACTTTGAGATCCTCAAATATAGCGTAAATGTTTGGCATATTTAAGATAATATGATTTTAGTCTGAAAATTAAGCTCTATTCACGCTTACAGGAAGACGATGTTAGACAAATTATAATACACCAATCAATGGGCGATTTATAAAAGGAAAAAAGAAAGAATACAATGACATCTAGATGAAAAAAACAAGGCCATTTTCTCAGATTTTGTCGCCAACAGAACCCAAAAGAAATCATCATCCACATGTTTCCAAAAGTCTTCCAATTTAAGCGTGAATCGAGTCCATTTTAAGGTTGGTTGAATGGTACCTACACCAGAAAGTGCCTCCCTGCTTCATCAATACATTCACTTTTCTGTTCTTCATTAGTGCCAAAGTTCACATTTCTTTTATTTGAATTGTACATTATTCCAGATTTTATTATTTCAAACACCTACACTTATAAATTTTACAAAATGCATTGGATTTTTGGGGGGTCATTTCAGTATTTCACCTCTCAAATGGGTTCTGCTCATACAAAACATGGACTTGAAAAGCACAATATGACATTGAATAAATTTTAGCTGTATATTTGTGGCATACACACGATTCAGAACAGTATATCTGCATAAAATTTAACAAAATAATTTCAACAGTACCAAAAATCGCTGGTAACCAAATCCTGAACAGGTAGAAGATTTAGATGCCACAAGTGTAGTTATTGTGATGTTATTTTCAGCAAGTTTTTTTTATTTTTTATCTCATATTTCTATTTAATGCAATATTTTCTTAGATAACTCCAAACAGTTAGCCAGCAGAGCAGCTAAATCATAAGCCTTTAAGACATGAGTCATTTACTAACACATATTTCTTACATTTTTGTTTAAGTGGTGCGTTTAAATGACTTCTTAAAAATCTGAAAATAAGTATTTGTTTACAGATTTTTACTTAAACTATAATCTGGCTAGTTTTGATTTACTTTCTTTTTGATTTCAAGACCAACTGAATAATAAATTGGCAACAAAAAAAAGGGAAAAAAAACACTCGCAGATATTTTTACTTGGAATTACAATTTGGAAATCTGTCAAACTGTCTTTTTCACTTTCACAATCCAGACTTGCTACTAAATTAAAACGAACATACCCTGAATTCAGTGTTTTTTCAGTATTCCCTTTTACCGTGTAAACAACTGGACATGTCCTCTTCACATCACAGTGTTAATCTATTTCCTTCCATTCACTCATAACATTTTTCATGATCCAAACTCCACACAGTCCTGCTTTGTTACTTATCTGTACAGTCTACAGGTAGTGCGTGGTCTGTCATAGAAAACAATAGCATTAAAATAGTCCTCATGAGCATTTATAGACTTTGATACCAAAAAGGCAAACTTTCTATCTTATACTTTGGGATCAGCTTTACAGTCATCTTTTCATAGGATTATTATTATTATGTAAACGTGTTAACAAAACCAAAACTTAAGATTCACATTGTGTTTATTGTGGACTTTCCTCCATGGCACACAGGTCAAGATGAAGAATTGAAATAGAAAATATTTTATGTCAGCATTTTGTCAATAACTTGTTTTTGTATTATATGATTTGCTTTGCTACAAGTTTGATTTTTATAATGCCATTATATGTGAATTAAAATGCTCTTCTATATACAGTATGTAGATACGCACCTTTTACTTTTTGTATCTTTGGGCTTTAGCCACAGTTACAATACTGATGTAAACAAATGAATTTTTTCCTGTTTTTACGAGAGTAATTTAATGATAATTTATCCATCAGGTTTCTGTTTGAAAATCGGGTGCCGGTTGTGGGTGCATATTGTTCAGTAGACTATTTAGTAGGGATGTAACAATAACTGAAATATCGTGATATTGTATCGTCAAAAGTCTCACAATAATATCATGGACTCTCACAATATATCGAATTACAAGCTCCTTTGCTTAAATGCATTGTTTTATAGTTTATTGACATTGGGAACTACATATCCCATGATTCATTTCAGTGCAAACAACATGAAGAAATATGTTTTTTACTTGAATTCTTGGCATTATGAAAGAAATAATTCACACCAAAATCTTTTCAAGATATTTTAAAAGCAAAAAAGTCTCCTATCTACAATTATATTAGTCTCTCCAAAATATGGCAATAAATAGCGTACCGTAGGATGCATATTGTGATAATATCATACCGAGAGATTTGGATATTGTTACATCCCTACTATTTAGTGTACTGACATGTTTAGATACCACAGTACTATATTATCAAAAATATAGTCCACAATAAAGAATCACTTTAGAGGATGCTTTCTTAAAGGTCCTGTACTACGCAGAATTGACTCTTGTGAGCTTTAAGCCATGTTAGAATGTTGCTACCTCCTCAAAAACAGACCTGAAGTTGTGTTTTGTTTAATTCACATGTTTGAGTAACACTTTATCTGTCTACTTCGAAGCTCAAAATGCTCTGGTCCATCTTGTGATGTCACAAAGCAGTATTTTTCAAGTTAACAGCTCCTTTTACCTTTTGTTTAGTAGAGATTGAAAATGTCAGTGTAAAAATTATCCAAATGATTCTAGTGAAGGTGTATGGACTTCAAAAACACAGTGGAGCACTTCCTGTATTACCTGATGACATCACAAGGTTTATTTTCAGTTTCAGAGAA